TACGCGTGTCCAAATTTTATTTAATATTTTTAATCGGATACGTTTTCAGCAAGTCCGACAAGTGTCTGAGGAGTGTCGGACAAGTGTCGTGTCGGATACGGTGTCAGACATGCACGCCTCTTTGAGGAGAAATGTCAGTACATCATAGTCTATATTCAATCCATAATATGCATGTTATCAACACTAAAAGATATAAATAAGTAATAATGAATACGCCCAAAAAAAGGAATGATAAATTTGTCCCTCATTCAATAAAAAAAGTCATCTACCAGCTTGAGGTCATAAGCAGTTAAATATTTTGATTTTGATGCTGATCTTTTCTACTCCAACGCAACTAAGGGAAATTATTAAGGGATTTGTCTACAACTTAGAAAAATCCGAAGAAATACAATACACACCCATACTTTGCAGTAATAAACTTAGTGACATCATGACCCTGAATTTTAATTTCAATGAATTTTGAGTTCATTTGGTCAAAGAATTAATTAAAACAAAAAATCAGCCTCTTTATGGGGCCTGAAACTTAAACAAATTTAATAAATCCAAATTGAATAAAGATTTAGGGTTTAGGATTTAGGATTTAGGGTTGCTGTTCTTTCAAATTAGACCCTTTATTTAATATTTTAAATATTTAACTGAATGACAAAAATCAATAAATAATCAAATTTCTAATAAATCACCAGTCTAATTAGTTAAATAATATTATAAGATTAAAATAAGCAACCATTATTCCAACAATAAAGTTTTTAGGATGGGCTATCTCGTCCGCGTGACTACTATCCTAAGGAGGCCTTGGTCCTCGTGCTCATTGTGACAACGTCACGAACAAATTTGGTGTAATGAAAACCATAAATTATAATTTTAAGAAACCATTAACAAGATGATCATAAATCTTGACAACTAATCAATGAACTAAATCAAATATAAACCCAATGATAATTAATGAGGCCTACGAAGCTATTAAGTTAGCCCCAAAGAGGGTGATATAAATCTCATGGCCCTAGTAAAATCAAAAGGAAGTTAGTATTCAACCTAAATAACTAACCATAAATCATTAATTAATGGAAGCCTCCATATCTTATGTAGATTTTATTTTGAAGAACATAAGTGTATTAAATTTTGAGGCTTAAAAGCTATAAACACCCAATTAAATTTAGGATATTAGAAAATCAATAATTATCCATCTCTAACACTTAAAACTCTTCCTAAAGTGAACACTAAAATACTAATATTTAAAATCCAATTAAATTCCCTTCGGCCTACAAAAATAAAATGATCAGAAAACTTCAAACAACAACGACCTATTTATGATACATGTATCCAAACGATACATCCTAATACATACATTGTAGATGATTATTAGGGAAACCAACTCTAATTTTAGGCTAGGTTGTTGTTCCTTCATGCTTGCTTTTTCTGTGTTATTTGATTTTATGTGGATTTTTATATGGATTTCATTATTTATTGGTTGTTATGACTTGATATGCTTTATGATACCTATTTCAGTGATGCTCTTATTTTACATGCTACTTGTGATATGATATGATGGGCGCAAGATTTCTCTTAGGTTAGGACGGTCTGGATATTAATGAAGTTTTCTGCATGTGGTCATACTTATGTAGGGCTATACAAAGGAGCAAATAAAAAATATGTGATTAACAAAAGTTTTTGCAGGTTTTAAAATTGCTAAGCTCACTTCAAAATTTAAAAGCATGGCCAAGCGAATGTGGTGGCTCAATTATGAAAAATTGATTATTCAAATGCTTGTGATTTATAAATATATGAATTTCTTAGAATAATGTGTAGGTTATATTAAAGTCATTTAATTTTTATTTTTTTATAAATATAAATTAAAAAAAGAGTTATAAAAGTAACTTGAAATGAAATATTTTAGTATTCAATTTGAAGGAAACACTTGGAGATCCAAATTCGGATGACTTGAAATTCTTCATGGATGAGTTCCTTTTATTTGGAGATCCAAATTAGGATGACTTGAAATCCAAAGAGAGAAAAAAAAAAAAACCTACATGGAGTAGTTCTTTTTATTTGGAATATCCAGACCCGGTAGATATAAAGAGTTTAAAAGAAAGAGCTAAAGGAGTGAAAACAAAAATAGCCCATTTTAAAAATTTCATCATTTTTTAGGACTAGACTCTAAGATGTTATCAATAGAGCCTGACCAATTTTTATTTCTACTGACCTCAGGTTGTATTAAGTGGCACTTATCATATGTCATTTATATTCATTTGGTTATATATAATTTGATAATGTGATTAAATTAATTATGCGCTAGAAATTATATGTTTTTCTTCGTTTTTGTTACATGTGCGATTTATTTTAGCCTGAAAAATACATTTAGGCTCTTGAGAACAACGCAAAAAAAATTCTACTTATAACTAACTAAAAAAATTTTAAGCTAATATAGAAAAATAAAGTGCTCTTTAAGAAGTAAGTCTCGAAACGCCCAAGAGTTTTTCATGCATTCATATTCCCTTCTCTCCTCATTTGGCACCTCCCCACCTGTTGGTCGTGGCAGACCACCAAACATATTAGGGTGTATAGCTCTGTCTAGGGGGTATTGTACATCACTAGGAAAAAAATTATTTTCTAAAGCCAAATTTTTAAAGTTCATCATAATTATTTTTGCATACAAGTGTCAATTAATATAAATTGCATTAGAAACTAACTAAAAGTCAATAAAATTTTAATTGCATTCGGTCATTATTACCATCCTTAAATAAAGGGGTTAATTAGAATATTCTCTAGCTAGATGTCGGCCTCAATTCTCAAAAACTAAAAAATAACTTACCCATCTTTCATAAAGATAGAATGCATGATTTTAAAACACTTAGGTGGTTTAACTGGCTCTCCAATCTGGGCTGAGGTAAATCCAAATTTGTATGTTATTAGTTAGGTTTGGGGTACTATTGTTTAGTGTCCAACTTAGATATATGTTCTAGGGTGGACCCAAAATCGTAAGTCTCCAACATCGAAAATTTTTAAGATAACAACAACTCAAAATAAAATTTTCTCAATCCCAAAATTTAAAGCTTAACATATAAGATAGATTGGGGTATTTCCGAATTACTTTAGAATCCTAAAATACCTCATATTTCTCATCCTTTCGCCTTCAGAAATAGGTGCTCAAAATTGATTCATTTTCTATTGAAATTCTCACCTCATTCCTTTTATATCACTCCTTCAAAATTCTAAATAAAATTTATACCATTATTCTAATCGAGAGTATTCGTACAAAGCCTAAAACTTCATATGATATAATTAACTACAGATGTTTGCCTTCGTAGTAGATTTAAGACCCAAAAAATAATCAAGCTCCATTCTATTTAGGTCCTAAATAGAATGGGAAAAAAATTTATTCTATTTTGAAAAATTAAAATCAAAGACGATCATTATCAGCATATTAAAACCATAGATAAAAAGTGATTTTTTTTTTTTCTTTCGAGAAATATATCATTTATCAACATGTCTTTGAATATGAAAGTTAATAACAACACATCTAGATTATCATGTTAAATATTTGATCCAATATCATTTTGATCCTCTAGGATCATATGTAGTTTCTTCTTGAATCTGACTATGATAGTCATGATGAATTTATAGTTTTGTAATCTAAACACATTAGGGAATGATATTTTCACCGTCCAAGATGATATATCATTCAAGATGATATATCATTCATAATGATGAGTTCAACAACAAAATTAAAAAAAAAAAACACTCATAAGTACTATGTTCAAAGTTTTTCAAAGAATTTATAATTACAATTGCTTTTTGCACTTTTTAACAAAATTAGTAAACAATTATCAAATCAAATTGTACCAATTTAACAATTTCTTATGCATGCATAACCTGTTGTATGTTCGCTAAAATTTTTCCTGCTCAAATATAAATTAACAATTTCCTGGCTCTATAATAGCTAACTAAACTCACCAAAACATTTCAAATCTAAGAAAGTATGTCATAAATTTGCTAAACTCCTACATTTTGTTGTGCCAAATGAAGCCAACCTTCGATTTGCTGGGCAAAAAAAAAAAAAAATCAAAAAAGTCCTAATCACCCATCTTCTTCTTCATTTTCCCTCCATCCTCAAATCTTCTAAGAAAAATAATATATTTGCAACAAATGAATAAAGCTATACAGCTCATTTAAACATTTCTTACTCATCTACATCCTCAAAGCAGCACAAGAACGGAGCTCGACGACAGGGCACGAAGAAGCGGTGAAGGAGATACTTGAATGAGGGAGAAGAACTTGAAGGATTGGGAGTAGTGGTGTTTTTACCATGATCAAAGTTACTTATTTAATGAGCAACTTTGACTCTGCCAACTCATAAAGCCACTCTGTCATCTTTGATAGATTTGACTGATTGACTCAGGCATAAGTCGCCCATGCCTTTGGCAACTTATAATTTTTTTTTAAAACAGACTTAAAACTCTTTATTCGTTTCTTAATTATACTTATATAGTTTAAAAATTATCCTATTTGTAATTGGCTTTGTGCCCTTCTTTACTTGTATTAGCTTTAAGCTCGCCTCATAAAAATATGTAATAGTATTGAATCCTCTTGAAGGGAAAAAAAAAAAAGGGTGTCCATAGATCTGTTTCGTGCAAAGAGTTTATATTTGATACAATTGAGACTCTTAAGATCTCCACAGCAAAGAAATGTCAATCTAGATTTGACAGATGAAAAATTTTGCTGGTTGCTGCTTTCTTATTCTATTTAAGAATACAAATTATTCTACAATTCATTATGCAGTGTATCAGATCAATCAAAAGCATCAACTTATTAAAAAGCTTTCAATACTTAATCAAAACACATGATGTATGCATTGACCCAAATAGGATTTTATAATACGATATCAAAAGAAAACGACAAAGCCAACTGTAACAAAGCTTCTGCAGTGCTTATTAACATATATATAACTGGAACTGAAAAGACTCAGGAGTTCTGCTGCAGTGTTCCTTCACCGGAACAGATTACTAATGCTTGGGTATTTCAATGTTGCTGGTACCTGTAGACCACACCGGATTACCGTAAACCACAACATCACCATTTGGCTGGAGGACGAGCGCATATTTGCCCGCTTGCCCACCTGTTTCGCTTCTCCATACCGTGATTCGGTAGTTGGAAATGATGACGAGCTCGCCATTATTCTGCAATACGAGAAAACAATTGACGCCTTTGTTGTCTGTATGAGACGACCATAATGCGGTCTGATTGTCGTACAAGACGAGATTACAATCTTTCTGCATGACAAAACTGTAGTTGCCATGAACAAGAGATTCGCCGGTGTCAAGTTTGCCCCCAGATTTCAATACGTTGCCGTAGAACTTGGCAGAATGGTCAGTGGATGTGGCAAGGATGACTAAGACGGCTATGGAAACGAGGAATGTTGCAGAGTGAGTAGTGACCGCCATTGTTAAACTGCGAGGTAGGAATTTGTTGTTTCGATGAGTTTTGTTGCTTGGTTTGGGCTATATTTATATCATCTGCTATGGCTAGCTCGACATGATTGAAATGCTGTGCACTGAGTGCCAGCCTACGTACGTTTGAATTCTTCATATTAGAAGGTTTTTGGTTAATAAGCACTGTTATATTATTTGTCTAACACCCTCCATTTGTCATGTATGAAAGATGCATGTATGCAAAGTTGACTTCTACATTTTGCAACATTTATGGAAACTAACGATAATGGAGGAATTGAACAGCTTGTTTTCTGAATGGAGTATTTGTCTTGCTTGATGGCGTATCGATACAACAACAGTATTACCAAGTCTTTATCCTATTATGTAAGGTCAGCTATAGGAATCTTTTTTTTTCTTCTATTGTAACATGTTAAGCATAAAATTCTCACTAAAATCTAAAAAAGTAATGTCATTTCTAATATTTTCTAAGTATTTTTAGTTCTACCTCAATCTTTCGTTACATAAGTCAAATCTAATACATCTACTCTCTTATTCCGGTGATCATCGGAAGGCTGTCAATTTTTTGACCTTATCATAAAATTAACAAAAAAAAGGGGAAATGAACTGCTCAAATTCATAGAATTGTCAGTGATATCTGCCCGAAATACCGCCAAATCAATGTGCATTCAGCACCGTTCGCATCTCTTCGCGGGATTTCTGTTCAGAGCGCCTCGATCGCTACTCTTCAACGTTGTTAAAAGCCAACCAAATGAAGCCTTCAGTTCTCTTTGACCTCATGAACGAGACCTCCTCCATACAAACTTCGCAAGCCCTCCAACTTCACAGCCTTTTCCATTCGCAAGCCAAATTGACAGAACTTTAGCGTCGGGCGGTGGTCCAGTGGAAGTTCGACGTTAGATGGTAGTATGGTGGAACTCTGGGCATCAAGTGATGGTTTGGCAGAACTCTGAGCTTACTCTAGGTGTCAAGTGGTGGTCCGGTAGAACTTTTGGGGCATTAGGTGGTGGTTTGGCAGAACTCCTGGCCTTAAATGGTGGTCCGGTAGGACTTAGGGCCTCATGTTGTGGGGTCTGGCGGAATTTAGGGCCTCAGGTGGTGGTCCGGTGTAACTTAGGGCCTTAAGTGGTGATCAGACAAAGCTCAGGGCCTCAAGTGGGGGTCCGGCGGATGTGAGGGCCTTAAGTGGTGGTCTGGCAGAGGTGAGGGCCTCAAGTGGTTGCCCGTCGTAGGTGAGGGCCTCAAGTGATGGTCTGATGGAGTTGAGGGCCTCAATTAGTGGTCCGGCAAAGGTAAGGGTCTCAAGTGGTAGTCCGACTAAGGTTAGGGCCTTAAATGGTGGTCTGGCAAAGATGAGACCCACAAGTGTTGTTCTGGTGGAGGTGAAGGCCTTAAGTGGTGGTCTGATAGAGGTGAGGGCCTCAAGTGGTGGTCTGGCGAAGGTAATGACATAAAGTGGTGGTCCGGCGGAGGTGAGGGCCTCAAGTGTGGTGGTCCAGTGGAGGTGAGGGCCTCAAGTGGTGGTCCGGCGGAGCAACGAATTGTGGTGGCCCGGCGGAACTCATGCGTTGATCGAAGAGGAGCAAGAAGGAAAGAGCGATTTCCGATCTCTCTCTTGAATTCTTTTTGCTTGGGTCCCCCTTTCAAGAGGGATGAGGAGTCTATTTATATATTTCCTAGAGTGGCATGGCCGATAAATAGGTAAAAGATTAAGGGCACATGGGGAGTGGCTTGGATGGACGACCGATGTTGAATCCCTTGATCGTGGACCATTTGATAGACACTTGAATGTCCTAGGGATGTCGTAATTTAGTGATCTTGGGCTCGTTGGATTTTTCTTGTCGAGCGGCTCAATTCGACTATAAGAACGTCATGTTTGCAAACCGTTTGGTAATCCAAATTGTGGTTCGAACCCCCCAACAACGCTTCAGTCCCTTGATTTAGACCCATTTGGGCTCAGATTGAGTTGAATTTGGTGTCGTTGGGTTTGTATTTAAGAGACGTTCAGTTCGACTATAAATTTGCTAAATCGGAATTCATATGATCCCAATTTTAATTTTAGAAATTTCCAACTTGATTTTGCCATGAAATTAGTGTTCGATCAAGATAATTTTTTTAGGTTGAATCAATTATGAAAAAAAAAATCTTTTTTTTTTTTGGGTTTCCATAGATCTGTTTTGAGCAAACAGTTTATATTTGATACAATTGAAACTCTTAAGATCTCCACAGCAAAGAAATGTCTATCTAGATTTGACAGATGAAAGATTTTGCTGGTTGCTGCTTTCTTATTCTATTTAAGAATACAAATTATTCTACAATTCATTATGCAGTGTATCAGATCAATCAAAAGCATCAACTTATTAAAAAGCTTTCAATACTTGAATCAAAACACATGATGTACGCATTTACCCAAATAGGATTTTATAATACGAGATCAAAAGAAAACGACAAAGCCAACTGTAAGAAAGCTTCTACAGTACTTATTAACACATATATAACTGGAAGTAAAAAGACTCTTATACTTTTTTTCCAACATCTTCTTCTCAGGAGTTCTTCTGCAGTGTTACTTCACCGGAACAGATCACTAATGCTTGGGTAATTCAATATTGCTGGTACCTGTAGACCACACCGGATTACCGTAAACCACAACATCACCATTTGGCTGGAGGACGAGCGCATATTTGCCCGCTTGCCCACCTGTTTCGCTTCTCCATACCGTGATTCGGTAGTTGGAAATGATGACGAGCTCGCCATTATTCTGCAATACGAGAAAACAATTGACGCCTTTGTTGTCTGTATGAGACGACCATAATGCGGTCTGATTGTCGTACAAGACGAGATTACAATCTTTCTGCATGACAAAACTGTAGTTGCCATGAACAAGAGATTCGCCGGTGTCAAGTTTGCCCCCAGATTTCAATACGTTGCCGAAGAACTTGGCAGAATGATCAGTGGATGTGGCAAGGATGACTAAGACGGCTATGGAAACGAGGAATGTTGCAGAGTGAGTAGTGACCGCCATTGTTAAACTGCGAGTTAGGAATTTGTTGTTTCGATGAGTTTTCTTGCTTGGTTTGGGCTATATTTATATCATCTGCTATGGCTAGCTCGACATGATTGAAATGCTGTGCACTGAGTGCCAGCCTACGTACGTTTGAATTCTTCATATTAGAAGGTTTTTGGTTAATAAGCACTGTTATATTATTTGTCTAACACCCTCCATTTGTCATGTATGAAAGATGCATGTATGCAAAGTTGACTTCTACATTTTGCAACATTTATGGAAACTAACGATAATGGAGGAATTGAACAGCTTGTTTTCTGAATGGAGTATTTGTCTTGCTTGATGGCGTATCGATACAACAACAGTATTACCAAGTCTTTATCCTATTATGTAAGGTCAGCTATAGGAATCTTTTTTTTTCTTCTATTGTAACATGTTAAGCATAAAATTCTCACTAAAATCTAAAAAAGTAATGTCATTTCTAATATTTTCTAAGTATTTTTAGTTCTACCTCAATCTTTCGTTACATAAGTCAAATCTAATACATCTACTCTCTTATTCCGGTGATCATCGGAAGGCTGTCAATTTTTTGACCTTATCATAAAATTAACAAAAAAAAGGGGAAATGAACTGCTCAAATTCATAGAATTGTCAGTGATATCTGCCCGAAATACCGCCAAATCAATGTGCATTCAGCACCGTTCGCATCTCTTCGCGGGATTTCTGTTCAGAGCGCCTCGATCGCTACTCTTCAACGTTGTTAAAAGCCAACCAAATGAAGCCTTCAGTTCTCTTTGACCTCATGAACGAGACCTCCTCCATACAAACTTCGCAAGCCCTCCAACTTCACAGCCTTTTCCATTCGCAAGCCAAAGCCTAAGCTGCGACTCCCCTCTGCTCTAAACAGATCCTTCCAATCCCATATAGACCTCCATCTCCCTCTCTTAGCCTGGGACTGAGCCCTTCCTCAAACCGAAGCCTTATCTCCCGTTGAACAAGGACTCAACTTGAATTTGATTGAACGAAAATAACTTAAGTGAACTCAAACTTAAAATGAATTTGGACTTGAAGCAAATGACAACAAATTGCGGATTTGAACTCGATCTGGACAAGAGGAACTTGAATGACTTGAACATAAAATTTAAATCATGTATGAAATACTTGAACCTTAAATTGACATGCAAGTATTTAGTTGATAATAGTGGTTATTCAATCAAAAATTAAATGGAGAATCTATGTTGAAATTTCAATGGATTTGAATTATTGATAACATAAACTTTCAATGGGTGACAACATCAATTAATGTGCAAACGCCAGCAAACGACAAATGACCCATAATAAGTGTGGTAGATCTACAAATGGCAAAAAGAAATATGTGGCACTATATTCATGAGTGAAGTGCTATGAACCTGAATTCAAAATGAATTACAAACTGAACTTAATTTGGGGTCATTACAATAACAGGGAATATGATGCAAGCCACTAAGCAGTGAGTTGGACCTTCAAATAGCAAGTGCATAGTTACAGATAAACTATCCTATTCACTCAAGGAGAGCTGAAATTGAAATGGCTCAAGTTATTCAATCAAATTGGGGTGCTTGCAATTACTAAATGAAGAATATGGAAATATGCCTACTGGTAAAGCTTCCCACAAATGCTTCAAAGCCTTCTTGTGAAATGAGATATTAAATCAAAAATAGATAATGTAGAGAGCTTTTCGAAGTTACCTTCAAGGATGAAAGATCCATGATGAATATAACTAGCCATATATGGAGGACAATAGAAGATCATGCAGTGACATGCTCATAAGTAAAGCATGGAGGATGTGTAATGCACACAATGCAACATCCACAAAGAAAGACGATTGATACAATCTGCATATGACTAGTGTCTCCTAATTGTAACCAATAACACTTCAACTTCAAGAGAACACATCAATTCTCCCAAGTTCTCAAGAAGTGATAATGCTGGATGTAATGCATATATGATAATTATCCACCACCTCTAAGGAAATCATAGCAACACCTTGCAATCAATATCAAGATGTTGATGCATACACAAAATGCCTTATGTAGTCAAAGGCAGTACATATATGTGAGGCACTTACGAGTTATTACAACATCCTTGTATTCAACAAATCATACAATTGTAGTTGAATATACCGACTCTCATTCAGGCAAAGGCAACATGTCCTCAACATATTCAAAGTACCTATACCAGTTGTCGTGGAAAAGACACTATAGCACCTCCACAACCAACAATTATCCAACATCAGTCCAATTCACTTGCCATTCCAATCATCTCAATAGCTTCAACAATTAGTTTAGAAGTGGACGCCTTGCATGATTCTCCTGGATGACCTGATGTGCCTTCAATTGGTATAATTATCAGGTCGAAGCGGTGGCCCTTGATTTTGACATATATGACATCAGTAAGAACTCAATCATCCAAGGTTGAAATAATTAATTCTTTATTTAAACTAAAAATAGAAAATGATGATTATGGCATAATTAGGGAGTTGCTTATTGATTCTTGTACGAGCTTTAGGAAGAGAAAGTCAGACCAAATCATTATGTTTAGGGGTAGAGCGAGTGATTCTCAGTTCAACCAGATTCTGAACATTAAATTGGATGTGACTATTGAGTCTTACAAATTTCTTGATGAACAAGTGATCCCCTAAGCTTATAATGACGATCACGCAGAACTCGTAAGTAAAGGTAGAAAATATATTATATACAAGCCCCCCTACGGGCCATTGTAGAAGGACAATTATGCATCTAACATATCACATACATGCAAATATAGAAAGGGCTATGACAAACATGAGTTTCTAAAGTCGCCACAGAAGGCCCGCAAATACTACAAAAATATATGCCCCCATAATGTGCACTATAATTTTTATACACTTAAACACAAGAAATGCACATGCTATCATACACCCGTATGGGCCTCGATGAACATATTATGGGCACACACGTGACATCTAGAGAAGCTGTGCTGGTTAATAAATGAACCACAGTTCAAGCCCGATTCTTCTATATGGATAGATAGGAGTCGACACGACTCAAATAAACAAACGGATATACAATCAAGGTGTTGATCATAATATATATTTTATATGTTCATATTAAGTCTTTAAGATCTGTAACAAAAGAAATTCATCAACAAAAAACACACCCAACAAAGAACCCGATCCTCTGTCGGCAAGTTGGTAAAGTTGACAAAGTACAACAGACAAAATGCAATAATGACCCCCATACATCCCAATGATGACCGTCTTGAACGTAGATATCAACACGAGGGATTAATTTTAAAACTCCCCAAAAGCACTAGGGAGGCCGGGCGCAAATTTTCGAAGCCCACAATTTTATGTGACCAAACCATCTAACTAAGGTGACACTCTAATCTTATCTTCCATTGGAGCTACTACAATCTTTTCATGTAAATGCTCGCTTCGTATGTTGTCTGTAAGAGTAAAACTTCTCTTCAACCTGAGCATCCTCATCTCTGAAATACTTAACTTAAAATTATGCTTCTCTTTTAACGGCCAACATTCTACATCACAAAGCATTGCAGGTCTAAAAAAAATTAAAAAAAATAAAAATAAAAAAATAAAGCATTGCAGGTCTAGCACCATCTTAAAAATTTTTCTCATAAGTTTGGGAGAGATATTTCTATCACATAACAAGCCTGATTGCGTAACAATGCTTGATGAAAATTTCAAATGATGTCTTGAACTATGATAAAAAAAACTGAGGGATGAAAGCGTTGAATTTAGGAGAGTTTTTTGAGTCATCGCTGTTGAAGGAACTGCATATCGTGGAGATGGGGTATGAAAAAATCAATGGAAGGTTAAAGAATAATAATTATTGTTTGTTTATAATTGTTGTAATTTAGATCTTTGAAGGAAATTATATGAATTTTTTTTTAAAGATTTTATGGCCGTCTAATCGCCAATGCATTGCAGGAATCTATGGTGGTGGGATAATTGACTTTATAGGTTTTTATTAATATAGCAAGTGGATTTAGAACGACTTAAGAGGTATAAATCTTTATTATTATTATTTTTTTTTTTTTTGTTACTATGATTTTCACATGATCAAGTATAAATGTAGATGTAAATTTAGGGATCAAATTTTTTGGAATATTTAAATCAATGATCATTCAAACTTCGATATAGATTTCAACAAATTTATATTCAACTAAACGTTTCAACGAGATGAGCCCTTGAACATCAAAAGTGATATGATCTAACACCAAATTGATATTATCCAACTCCAAATAAGCCCAAATTAAACACCTAAAGCAAAATTAAAAATTTTTGGACATTTATATGATGACTAATTAATCTCCAAATCTTTCATGCACATAGTTCGATCGTGCATTTTGATGAGATGAATCAAATAAGCCTATGATCTCTTAATTATGACATCAATAAGATGTCTAAATGTTGAAATAATGATTTATAAACAAGAAAATTTACATTAACAGTGTAAATACAATATTTTAGGATTTTGAATAAATTTACTAAAATACCACTCTAAGAAAAATTATAATTCATCCCCCACTCTTTGCATGACTACGGCTCACAAAAAAATATTCGATGTGGACGTCAAATGCCGTCCGGAGACCAATCAGAACGAGTCACATCGGTACTTCGGCTCGATACCGCACTCGGTATTGCGGACATGACTCATTCTAATTAGTCTCCAGATGTATAGGTGTGTTCGACGTCCGCACATAAATTAGCCTTTGAAAACTCTCCTTATAAAAAATATACCCAACGTAAGTGTATCAGGCTTTCCTTGTAGATGTTGGGAGGGCATTTCAGCCCATTTTATTAAAATCTAATAAAAAAATTATCTCGATTTAAATGGTCTTTTAATCTATATTTGACAAGCTTCAAAGTATTTAAAAACAAATAAATGATAAAAAGTCTTCAGAGATGAATTATTCATCAATAAAAAAGTCTTTGCCAAGGGCTGTGGCCAACCTGGCCGAGCAAATGGCTAATAGCT